GGTGTTTGATGATATGCTGGTTCACTAATTGGGTTCAGATGAATCTGGATCTACTGAAATTGTGTTCATCTATTGAACAATTGGTGAATCATTTGTGTGTGTTAATAAAAGGGTTGTYRGGATCTATGGTGTTGATCATATACAGGTCATGACAAAAGGGTAATGAGGGGTGCATTATGATAGTATCTTCTTTTTCTATAACCGGGGTATTTGGCGTTTCTGATGATATATTTCATCAAGAAAAGAGCATAAAGATGGTTTTAATTATGTGCTGTATTCTTGACAAAGTATATTATCCGTCACTTTCTGTCCCTCATGAGCGTACACACATTCACTTCTGCATGAATTATTGTATGTCATTACTTGTTTTGACCATCTGATTTCATGGTTTTCTTGAAATCGTCATGGTATTAAGTACCATATTCTTGACAGGAAAAATCTTAGTGAAGGTCACTCTCGTTTTTTTTTCCTTTACGAATTGCACACATGCACTTCTACATGTATTGTTGCATGTTATGCACATCAACTTTAGAGTTCAGACCCTTGGGTTGTCCTCTCTCCATCTCTCCTCATCTTTTCAAGAAGTATCCTGTGTTGAATAGGTATGATGTTATATGTTTTATCTTTTCCATCAAACGAAGCATCTTATTTAGGACCTTCAACTAATGACAGGCTTCCAGAGGTAGCATGCTGATTGACGCTGGGTTCTTGGATTTCTAGATAGAGGATGATTTACTGCCCTTGACTGGCTCCAAGTTCTCCTGATGATGTGTATTGATTAGAGCAATTTCTATGGAAGGGCTTCTGCTGCGATCCAAGTACAGGGAAATGACACTGAAAAGAATCCTGTATCTTATCAGATATGTTCCCAAGTGCCACCAGTTTTGGTTATAATTTTACACTCTGGTGTGCGTTCTCTCCTGGTCTTTGGCTCTAGGTTTAGTATCATGATAATTTACTTCTTTATTTGTTAACATTGACCTAAATTTTTAATCATATCCCTTGCCAGTTGGAATTTCCCAGGAAGTGGAAGATAAGAAGCAGCTAGTCCTAGGTTCATAATTCCCTTTTGAATACAAGTACTTTTCTAATGCAACAATTCAATTTTACTTATTTGATTTTGAGGTTCTGAAAGTCAACCTTAACAATTTATGCTTTTGTTGATTTCGACCTTCATACGGTTTCTACAATTAACCTAGTTTCTATTGATTTTGACCTTCATACAGTTTTTGTAATTAACTTTTGAAGTAATAGGGTTGTGTTCGTGCACGATCTTTTCATTTTTGTAGATTTTGACTTTTATACTATTTTGGTTTTGACATGTGTAGTTAAATGGATTGATTTTGACTTTTGTTCCGTTTGGGTTTATTGTCCATGTACAAGATCGAACTTTGTATTTTATATTTGAACTTTATTGTTGTCATTTTTTATCGATTAATTTTGACTTTTAAGTATTTGGATTGTTCCCTATGCAAAATCTTTTTCACTCTTATTGTCCTTTTTCTACTTATTTGATTTTGAGGTTCTTAGAGTCAACCGTAACAATTTATGTTTTTGTTGATTTCGACCTTCATACGATTTCTACAATTAACCTATGGTAGTGTCTATGCACCAACCTTTTCATTTTGGACATTTTGGATATTATGTCTTTTCAATCAAAAGAAGCACTTTATCTAGGATCTCCAACTAATCTCAAGCTTCTGAGTTCCGAGGTAGCATGATGATTGATGCTGGTTTGTGTGGATTTCTAGAAAGTGGATGATTAACCGGTTCAGGGATCTCCTGAGGTATAATTTTGACCCTTTTCAGTAATTGAATTGTGCCTTATATTCAACTTCTGAAGAAATAGCCTTGTGTCCTTTTCAATTTTTGAGATTTTGACTTTTATACCATTATGGTTTTAACATTTTTTGTTAACTGGATTGGTTTTTAGCTTTATTCATTTTATGTCCGTTATTTAGTTTTTTTAAGAAGCATTTTGTCTTTTCAAGTTGTTCACTTCCCTGCTTGTTTGATTTTGAGGTTCTAAAAGTCATCCATAAACTTTTCTATTTTTTGTTAATTTTGACTGTCATACTGTTTTAATAACTTTTCAAGTAAAGGGGTTATGTCCATGCAGATTTTTTTTTGTAGATTTTCACTTATATACTATCTTGGTTTTGCCATATTCAGTTAAAGATGAGGGATCGTGTGAGGACAAGAGTTATGGTGAGAACACTATTGAGCCTTTGGTCATGATGATAAAAAAAAAAAAGGCAACTAGAAGTAGTTGGATGTGGATGAAGTATATGAATGTTTTGTTCTCACCTTCTCAGTATAACTCTTATTCATAGCGGAACCCAACCCTTTAGTTAAATGGATTGGCTTTGACAACTTCTGTTCCATTTGGGTTTATTGTCCATGTACGAGATTGGACTTTGTATTCTATATTCGAACTTTATTGTTGTCATTTTTTATCGATTAATTTTTGACTTTTAAGTAATTGGATTGTGCCTATGTATAATCTTTTCCACTCTTGTTGGCGTTCAGCTCTCTACGTGTTGATTTTAAGGTTCTAAGAGTCATCCGTAACTTTTTTCTGTTTTTTGTTGATTTTGACATTGATATGGTTTTTATACTATTTTGGTTTTCATATTTTTTTTGTTAAAATGCACTGGTTTTAAACTTTATATTCAATTTGGCTTTATTGTTGGAAGCCCCAAATCAGTCTCCAAAAAAGCTCTTGAGGAGAAAGGGAAGGTTCCGACATATATATAGGAGAAATGGTCCAAGTGTAGCCGATGTGGGACTCCAACAAAAGTGAAGGGAGATTTTGACTTCTATACCATTCTGGTTTTGACATTTTTTTGTTGTTGACTTCTTTAATCGAGTAATTTTGACTTTCAAGTTGTTCGCTTCTCTGCTTGTTTGATTTGAAGGTTCTGAGACTCATCCATAACATTTTCCTAGTTTCTGTTGATTTTGACCTTCATACAGTTTTTGTAATTAACTTTTGAAGTAATGGGGTTGTGTTCGTGCACGATCTTTTCATTTTTTGTAGATTTTGACTTTTATACTATTTTGGTTTTGACATGTGTATTTAAATGGATTGGTTTTGACATGTGTAGTTAAATGGATTGGTTTTGACTTTTGTTCTGTTTGGGTTTATTGTCCATGTACAGGATCGAACTTTGTATTTTAGATTTGAGATTCGTAATTGGATTGTGCCCTATGGCAAAATCTTTTTCACTCTTGTTGTCCTTTCTCTACTTATTTTATTTTGTGGTTCTGAGAGTCAACCGTACAATTTGTGTTTTCGTTGATTTCGACCTTCATACGGTTTCTACAATTAACCTATGGTAGTGTCCCATGCACTAAACTTTTTCATTTTGGACATTTTGGACTTTTATACTACATTGGTTTTCGCATTTTTAGTTACATGGATTGGTTTTAAAATAAATATGTGTTCATTTTCCATGCAAGGGTATCGAACTTAGTATTTCAAATTCGAAMTTCATTGTTGACTTTTTTATTGAATAATTTTGGCTTTTCAAGTTGTTGATTTCCCTGCTTTTTTATTGAATAACCTATTCTAGTTTTGGTTATTTTGACTTCATCCAGTTTATGTATTTAACTTTTGAAGTAACGCGTTGTGTCCATGCACTAATCTTTTAATGAAACTTATTAACAGCTTATCCTCAATCAGATGGTCCAATCACGATTGATGGTAGCTTTAGACCATTGGCTTGTCCTCTTTTCATCTTTTCTACAAGTATCTTGTGTGGAATACCATTTATCTTTTCAATSAAAWGMAGCATTTTATCTAGGATCTCCAATTCCGAGGTAGCATGATGATTGATGCTGGTTTGTGTGGATTTCTAAAAAGTGGATGATTAACTGGTTCAGAGCTCTACTGATGTATAATTTTGACTTTTTTAAGTAATTGAATTGTGCCTTGTGTCCTTTTCAGATTTTGAGATTTTGACTTTTATACCATTATGGTTTTAACATTTTTAGTTAATTGGATTGGTTTTTAGCTTTATTCAGTTTAATCTCATTTTCTTATTATGATGCATAACCAAGTTAGACAAGGTTTTGCTAGGGAATGAGTATTGGCTAAGATAGATAAGATCTATCTTCTTTGTCATACAAAATGCTCTGTGTGTGTATCCTTTGCATGTACGTTCTCCTTTTCCCTTTGGAAGGTTTGAGATTTTCATACATGTTATTCTTTATGATGATGTGTTCTCATCATTAATGATCCGACAAAAATACAGGGGTTGCTGGAGGTGCAGCTTCAGGGAAGACAACAGTTTGTGATATGATCATCGAGCAGCTTCATGCTCAGCGTGTTGTACTTGTCAACCAGGTATCTTTAATCTCTCCTTCATTGACAATTTAAGAATTAATGTATAGAGTATGCAAAAGGCCTTGTTTAGATGATATCCCCTTTTCTCTTGCATTTTCTTTTATAATCTTGTTAATCTGCCCTTTTGTCTATCAATAGGGCTCTCTGTTCTATTATATTTTGATCCCACTAAAGCTGGTTATCTAACACATAGGAATCTATGAGTGTGTTGACAGGACTCATTCTATCATAATTTGACTGCTGAAGAACTTACAAGGGTTCATGAGTACAACTTCAATCATCCTGGCAAGTTTTTATACTTAAACTGGCTATTTTCTTAATAATTTTGAAGTAAAAAGGGATCATCCATCTTCTTTTTGATAGACAGGCATCATTTGCTACCCCAAATCTTTCAGGGGACCTCCCGATTATCTTTTTTTGTCATAAAGCTTTGGCATTTTGTGCCATTAACCATAATCTCTTTTGGTGGACTAATTTGTTTTAATCTTTCTAAACTGAAATTTGTTTTCATGCTTCTTATGATACTTCCCTATTTGTTTTTCCAGATGCTTTCGATAATGAGAAGTTATTGTCAGCTATGGAGACGTTGAAGCATGGGGAAGCAGTGGATATTCCAAAATATAATTTCAGGAGTTATAAGAACAACGTCTCTCGAAGGGTTAGTTTTTTTTACATAGCTTAGAAAGGTCTAAAATTTTATCACATTCAAAGGGCTTACAAAAGTGCACCATTGCAGCTTGTTTTTCTCAATGTGGCATGTTAAGCCGTTGTCTTAGTTTTTCCTTGTTAGGCCTGTTTATAGAAACAATAGTTCGAGTCAATTAAATGATTTTTGTACCCTTGTCGATTGGCACATTACTGAAAAACCTTCAACCATTAAACAAAATTCTTTAAGTATTAACCATATCAAACATCATAGTCAGGTGTTCTAAATTGTAGTTGCAAAAACCTGCTACAACATGTTTATTTATTTAGTCATCTTAATCTTCGTTAAGTCGATTCAAGCCCTTTGATGGTGTTATGTTTAGGGTTCTGTTTAGGATTCTGTTTACTTCAGTCTTCATCAACCAAAAAAGATGTGCATTTTGACTTTTGAGGTCAAACTTGTGACTTTTTTATATTCATCTTGATGTGTATTCTTTTGTGAATCCCTGATAGTGAATGGCATAAATTTTAGTTGATTATTTAACTTATYTTGAAGATTTGAGGCCTCTTTATACATTTCAAAGCTAAAAGATTAGGCCCTTTGACCTTGAATGTCATATGCCTTTTCCACAGCCTACAATTAAAACGGTTCTTTGTATTAGCCCATAGATTCGAGAGCCTGCACCAATAATCCTTGCATGGTGCAGGCTTGATGGAATGTGCCTATGTTATAACGTTGTTTTTTCTTTTCTTTAATCCTTTTCAATGGCACCTTTAGCTCAATTAATATATAGGTTTCATGCAAAAACATGAATCAAACAAATCTAGAGCAACCAAAGTGTCAATGACCCATTAATGGTATCTGGTAGAGCTGAACTTTCCATTAAGTCAACTTTTTCTAAAGTTGAGGATTGTGTGAGTTTTGTTGTGTATATAAATATTATATATTTAAAAAGGAAAACAAATCTAGAGCATTCAAGCTAAATTGATGTCAATGGAACCAGACCGTATGCCAGATTGACCGCTAGACCTGCACCGTGCGTTATGTTCTAGCTGTACTCTACTAAGTGATGGTTTTTTATTCGTTACGATTCTATTTCTAATGATTTGAATTGGAATTTAGATGGTTATTTTACTGCTTTGTCGTTGGAGCATCACATGATTTTCTTCAGATTTCTAATTGGGTTTTGTTCAAATAAAACACAACTCCGCTCATATTTTTCATGTATATAATCTGTCATGACTGAATACTTGTTATGTGATTTCTGTGTCTGTTTATTCAGGGAACACGGGCAAGGTTTTACACCTCATGTTATTTCTGTGACTGCCGGAGAGGTATGAAATACAAACCTGTATATTATGATTTGCTTTTTATGTCCGAGTCTTGCAAGCCATAATCTGTATAACTAATGCTATCAYTTATGGTTTATGTTGTTCAATAATTGTGGTTGCAAAAACCTGCTACAACACTGTGTGTGCATGTGCGAAATGCATGTGTGGGTGTGTGTAAGAGACAAAGAGATCACAATGAGTATATAGTATAAAAGCACCATGCGACTGAGAGTTAGAAGAATGGAATATACAAAAATTGATAAGAAGAAAACCAGAAACAAAAGCATAAGGCACAAAATTTTCATTCTTAATTGTTGTAATTGTTTCTTTTGAAGTTGGATCCTCAGAGTTGTAGACTGATCATTAAGAGTCCAGATCAGGCTCCAGATCCAACATGCACAACATGTAGCGCCTGTTGGATGACTCCATATGGGGATTGTACATGAGATAGAAGCTTCACAATGTGGAGCTTCCGATATTTCACAATGTAAGTTTGTTCAAAAAATCTAGAGATTCTTTCGGTTGCTGACCATGCTAGTGTGCTACCAGAGAATTTACAGATCAGAAGAGCTGAAGAGGTTAGAATGTCTACGTGAAACAAGCTATCTTCAACCAACTGATAATAATGCAAATTAATTCACTTAACAAGGATCAAAGCATGGATAGTTGCAGCTCTAGGCCACTGCCCACACCAAAAAAAGGATAACCTATCAAAATAGTACTTTGAAGTAGTTGAAGCCATGTGAGACCTTTACCAACGGCATTCAGCCAACATACATAGGTGGTTTGGTTTCCATGACATCATATGGAAAGTGTTTATATGCGACTTGAAGATCATCTTTATGTGACCAGACTGTATAAATGTTTTGCTTGAAGATGTATCTTTACTACAAAGGGAGTATGTTTGGTGGCATAGAGAGCACCAACTTTGATGAGACACCGGACCTCATTTTCCAACTGTTTAATCATCTTATCTGGAACTAGACATAATCCCCGTTCAGTCACTTTTTCTTGGAATCAATCATTCCCATAAGACCAGTTATATGTTTATTGGTTTCATATTGTTTTCAATATAGCTGTCTGATAGGTTTAAATCTACATAGAGTTATATACACAAAATTTTGTGTTTCTAGGTGGTCTCTCTCTTTAGTTGACTATGACTTCTTTTTTGATGTCCAGCTTTATGATCTTGCTAGAAACGGTGTTCCTCTGAGATGATATTCCTCCTTCGCTCTGCACAAAATATCGCTGTGAACATGAATTCACATGTGAATGGTCCATCTCTATGGTTGATCATCCTGAAGATCTAATCATTCTCTAGGTAACTTGGGTGGACAAATTTGAATTCCTGGCTCTTTTATGATATGCTTCTAACTACCATGTGAAGTGTCCTTGTGAAAATACTGATTTTCCTGCACTCTTTCCATCTTTTGGCACACCACCAACGGTGAAAAGTGACTTTTCTGAAACAGGTGGTTGATGGCCAAAGTCTTGTTTTAGCATTGCTGCTGACATGCTGACACAAAAAATTGAGGAACATGTGTCGATACCTATACTTTGTACCTTGTTTGCATCAAGTAGCCGTGGTTAACCGATATATAAACTCGTTTAGTTTCTTGTCTGAATACCTTTTCCGTTTGTAAATATTTTCCTTCATAATGGTGTTGTTGGTTTAAAAATGCGTGCATAATGCGCTCTGATGTGCTGGAGGTAACGCATCAAATGGGCTGATGCGAAGCGATTCCATGATGCGCTCGCATCAAAGTGTAGGAAAAGATTATTGAAGTCAGAAGGTGAGTTTCTTTATCACAAAAAGATTGCACTTTTTGACTCTAAAGTAAAGTGAACCATTTCCCTGGGACCTTTTTTGCTTCCATTGATTTTTCATGTTAGTGTCCCCTACTGCTTTTGGGGTCCTGTCACCTGCATCTTAATTCAGAAAACCATGTTCACCTTTCTTATCAAGGTTACCAAGGGGCTGTTTGGTTGGTTTTTCATTAAGTCATGTGTGGATAAAGCTTTATTTGTGGATTAATCTATTTGTATAAATTGAGGAACTTTTTGTTTGGGTGGTTTTTTTCATAAATGAAAGGAGCGTGTTTTTTAAGTGGGGGAATAGTAGGTCTGGAAAATCTTGGCTTTCTGCATAAAGCTCCCCCTAGAAAGCTTACTGAATAAACCACTTTCTATATCATTGAACCACTATCAAACAATCATGTATAGTTGACTGAAAAAGCTGCGGGTCCCATTAAGCTCATCAAGCTGCTAACAAATAGGCCATAATTTTGCTCTAGTTAACTTATATTATTTATCAACTTGTCTGTGTTATCAAATCACCATGCTCACAAATTGCAGTCATTTATAGCTGAGTTCCAGAAGACATGCTACTTTGAAACTGTGATTATGTCATTATGCTGTTTTGCTGACCTGTAATGACTTGTTGACTATTAGAATATAAACAATTAAATGCATGAGTAGCTGATTTAGATAGACAGAGAGTTTTTAGGGCTACCATTGACTTATTGGAAATAAAATTTAGTTTGGACAGTGTGGTGCTTTGAATTGTGTTCTACAATTAATAAGAGACAAAACTAATTCTTGGAATTACCTTTAAAAGTCCATTGTTGTACCTGTCCTTGATGGAGTTGGTATTAGGTTTTAGAATCATGTCTGTCTTATATTAATTTACTGTTTATCTGGGTTGACCATTTCTTAAGGAGTCAATTCTTTATAGGATAATTGAGGGGCTGTTCGGTTCGTTTTCTGTTAAGACCTGTATTGATATAGTTGTCTGTATATTAACAGATAAGTTGTTGTTCGGTTGTTGTGCTGAATAAACAGTCTGAATGTCAGAAATGACTATTCTACTATATCTAATCCATTGTCTGTTTCCATAGTAGGGTTATATATTATTTATTTAAAGAAATGCTAATTAGCTAATCATCTGCCACTTCAGTTTTGTTGTCTTTTCTCTTTCCTTACCCCCTCCCCCCAATATGTCATCCTACAAACCTTGTGGTTCGCTCAATTAACAATAAGGTTTGGACCTTTGGGGATTCTTTTCTGTATAAAGCTTTCACCTAGAAGTTTACTAATTAAGCCACTTTCTATATCATTAAGCCACTCCCAAACAATCATATATAACTGACTGAATAAACTATGAGTCCCATTAAACCGCTAACAAACATGCCCTTAGTTTGAATAAAATTACAATTGATGATACAGGGGTTGTTTTCCCATACCAAGACTAGGTTTCATTTGTTGAAGTTTTTTCCCTCAAAAGCAGATATTCAGCCCCTTTGACTTTTTTTTTTAAGATAAGGTCAAATTTGTATTGAAAACTTGCCATGCCACATGTACAAAGGTACACGGAAAACCAAGGTGGACTTATGGTAACCTAATACAAATATATTATAAATCAGTTACCCCTAACCCTAATATACACGAGCCATCAATGTGGACTTATGGTAACCTAATACAAATAATAGGATCTCTTTGTAAACAAAAAATTTCAAAAATCCTCCAACTCCTTTTAAGGCTAGGGAAAGAATTGATCTTGTAAAGAAAAGGGTTACACTATGCAATTTCATCTATTGACAACCTGCATTCCTTCCTGGACCTCCATAATAAATATAATTCCCCCAAACATTGTTTTTGCCCGCTTTTATATCGTAACAATTCGGATTGTCGGCCGAGAGATGGAGATTCGTTAGCGGAAGCAAGCTGTTGTCCCAATCGACAACCTGCAAATTCCGAAAGTAGGAAGCTTTCCCAAAACCTTCACCTGCAAAATGACCACTTCCCATCTGTGTTGATGTGTGATATCCCCTTGATCTTGAGTTCACTATCTCCCCTCCAAACTGTACCATACTCGCTTGTCGTTGCAAATGACTGAATAAGAACGATGGCCAGTAGCCGATGAGCACCCCGGATCCAAATTGGAGCCACCAGTGCCCATGCTTAGGGTCCTGTAGAAAAGAACAACAATGGTGGTCCAGTTTAGCAATATTTCTGTTACCTCCATGTGGTCCTATACAAAAGAATAACAATGGTCCATGCTTAAGCTTCTATTTCAATTATAATATTCAAGTAAACATGGGAGACACTTCCTAGAAATGAAGAAGAGAATCTTACAATTTAATATTCCACCCACTCTACCATTGCAAGTTTTCTTTTTCTTGAAAAAGAATCTTATTTTAAAATGTTTCTTTTGAAGGATGTCCTGGACATCAGGTAAATTGCGAATGGAAGACATCAACCGTGATAAATTCAATGGCCACAATTGTTGTGGACACTTGAAATCGAACCTGGGGCAGATTGGATATTCCATGACATCCCCGGACCTCAACCACTACACCACAATCCAAGGAGGAATAAAAATCCCCTTGTGGCCACGGAGGTTCAAATGCGACCACTTCGGGCTATCAAGAATCCCCCAAGAACAGGAAGAAAAACCATGTGATGGCAGAACTGGAATTAGAAGGATAGTTTTGCTCAAATGAATTCAAAGAGTGCCATAATTGGTATGCAGCTAAAATTTCTTTTAGCATTACCTTCCATATCATGATACCGATATCGAATTGTTTGCCATTGTAAGATGACCTTGGAGAGATGGCTGCACCTATAGCAATCCTATTGTTTGTTTGAACAAATCCTGAGCATAGCAAGTTATAGCACCCTGTGGCTTGGTATGCATCCGTCTGGAAATATTAACATAAATTAGCCGCTTGCTGTAAATACATACATATGTATATATATATATACACAGAGAGAGAGAGTCGGGTTCAAACGAGAACAGTGAACAAATATGAGAACACTAAAATGGTCAAATCACATGTGATTTTTCCGTTCTCATGTTCTCTTATTTTGACTATATTCTCATTTGATCCTTCCTATATATATATGTAAGTATATTTTATATATATATATATATATATGTGTGTGTGTTACCATTGGGAAAAAATACATTGATTATTACTTACAGTCCAGTAAGTGAAAAATCTAGGATAACCATCTCCATATAACTCTGGACTAACCTGGAAAAATATTAATCACTATTTGTTAGGCAAAGAGTCTTCTCAGGGTCCTATGGGATTAGTCGAGTTGTGAGTAAGCTGACCCATCCACCCATCGTTGCCAAAAAGGTCATAACTACTACTTGAAATAAATAGATATAGGTTACCTGCCAACCCGCTTCTATGGTATTGAGATCATTGCCGAATGAACCGGATATGACCCATAACTGTGACAGACTAAACTCATACGGATCTGTAACCGTTGGCGTCCATACATTCATGCTGGCCTTGGCTCCGTAGTACTGATCTCCGTTCACAAAAGCGACTGCATGCTACATTTCGAAAGATCGTATCTCAGCAGCTCTTCAACTTTAGAAATATGCATAGAATTTGCATTTGTTTATGTAACCTAAGCTCCTCTAAAGGGCCTGTTTATTAGCAGCTTAATGGGACTCGCATCTTCTTATTCGGTCAGCTATACATGATTGTTAAGTATTGGCTTGATGATATAGAAAATGGCTTATTCAATACGCTTCTAAGGGAGAACTTTACACAGAAAGCTAAGTTTTTTCCAAACTTGTCCCTCTCAAACAAAAACCTTCCCAAATAAAAACAGGTCCTTTTTTCCATTTCAGGTTCCAATTGGGTGTGTTCTTGAGATAAACTAACCTCGTGACCACCGCTCATGGTGTCGTGCCTCACACCTCCTCTTATCTTTCTTCCAAATCTTCGAAGCGAACTCGCTCGTAAAACATCTTTCTTGGTTGTTCTTCTGATCGGAACAGTTCCTTCTGGGCATAATTCACCGGATTCTGCCCATAACTGAATTGTCTCAAAGCCTTCATCACTGGAGTTATGCCCCTTTGGCCTCTCCAATGGCGGTTCCTTCATTGAAATGCAAATTTTAGGAAATCCCAATTGTTTCCACATGTAGAAAAACTATATATATATATATATATATATGTGTGTGTGTGTGTAGATATACCAATGGTCTCTGGCCTCTGAGCATAGGATGATCAAATGCAGGTTGAAGATGAGAAAGGACACAATCAATCAAATCTCCATCACCACTCTGCTTTCACATCAAACAAAAGAAACCCAAATGGTCAAAAAACTCAGAACCAACATACATACATTCATCTGAATGGAAGTCAAATCTCAAACAGCAAAAATGGCAGAAAGTCAAAGAGGAGGAAAAAATGCCTGAATGGTCTTGACWGAAGGTTTGTTGATCTTCTTTAGCTTAGCTCTGACTCTGCTCACCTTCTTCAGCTCTTCCATTGGGCTGAATCTTGTTTCATTTATTGGCACAGAATCAGCAAGAAGGACAAAGGATAGCAGAATACAAACAAATGTGAAAATGATTGGAGATTTGGGAGCCATATTCACATTGGTAATTAAGAAACAATATTTGGGTTTGGTTGTATGCTGCTGAGCTAACATGGTCTCTATATCTATATCTATATCTATATCTATATGTATGCAGGATTGTGAGGCTTGTCTCTTTGCTACTCACTCAGATGTGATCAACAAGAGAACAAACAAGAACAAGAAACAATTGGTTTGGTTTGGTTTATTCCAATTTTTTGTCCAAACAAGAAGCCTTTGGTGCAGCACTAAGAGTTGGCAAGTTTTCAAATTTAAGCCACTATTTCCATTCTACCTTTTTAATGACTCAAATTGGACAGATAAATACACACACCCCCACACACACACACACACTTCTCTCTCATCATGATTCTTTACGGGGCTTTGGTCTAAGAGTATCCGAGTTATCAATAAAATATAGCAGCATTTCTTTGAAATAGAGAAAATAGGATTTTGGACAACTTTTTTGCTTCAATAGATTCTCCGAAATAGAGAAGTAGAAGAAAAATTGTGAAATTCTTTAATTTTTTTAATTAACCTGGATATCCAACCCGCTTATTTATGTACATGTATATATCTTTTAGATGAATGATTACCAGAGCGTTTTTGGGTTTTTATTTTTTTAATAAAATTTCCCAAAACCTAACTCTTTCTCTACGTATATATTAAGAAAAAGAAAAGAAAAAAGATTCGTTGATGTTGTGGTCTGACACACAGAACCAGCTTACATTACACTGGGGGTGTGTGGGGTTTACAATCCATTAGTAGTCAATTTCTTTTATATATTTGCTTCACTTTTTCCAAATGACACCCATTATGTGTGTGTTAATGTGTGTCAGAGAGATTCCACTTGGTCTATGCATTGCAGCCTGCTAGCCTGCTACCTGCCGGTGGTGGTGGTGGTGGTGGGGTGGAAAACACTGGGGTGTAAAAAAATAACGTGTACTCTACACCACCAGATCAACTCTTGTTTTTCTTAGGTAAATATTGCAAATAACCATCAACGTTTTTTAATGCCTTTTTTTGGTATAAAATATAAATGCTTTTAAAAGTTGATAAGAGTATACAAAAATGTAGAGATAGACGTAGAATTTGTTTTAATCGATGGTCAGGGGTGGACCCGGTTTATTAGATACGGCTGCAGTGACGGATATATAGTAGAGTATAAGGTGGTGCATGTCATCGTATTAATTTGTTGTGTATCATCATATGTATTTTGAAACTACAATGAAAACAAGTTTTATTTGATAGAGTTGGTTTACAAGGCTTTTAGTCCACCCCGGAACTAAGGGTAAAATGGGAAATTGGGAATTTACTTTTAAAAGTTGACATTCATTTTGGAACAAACTAAAATAGTAATATAGACATTGATTTTGGGACGGAAAAAATATTATATTATCAAAAAACTTTGACTTTTAAGGTGGAAAAATAATATTTTTATTAAATGTATGAAATATTTAAATAATATAATTAACTTCATAACTTCAAAAATATAAAAATTGAATGTAATTTTTTTTTAAGATTTTAAATTTTAATTCTTCATTTAGAAAAGGGCAAATTGCATGAAAAAATAATGTACTTTGACTTGATTTCTATTTTGGGTAACGTACTTTCAAAACTTCCATTTTGGTACCTAAGATGTAAAGTTTTAAACATTTAAGTAACCGGGTAATTAGTTGAAGTATTAACCGGTTATCATACTGATGTGGCGAGTGATGTGGTATCCAACTCGGTATTATTTGTTGACCTAGTCAGTAATGTGGATTTTTTTTAATCAAAAATTAGTCTTTTTTTAGTCTAAAATTAGTCGTCACTGGGTTACCCGGGTACTTAAATGTTTAAAACTTTACATCTTATGTACCAAAATGGAAGTTTTGAAAGTACGTTACCCAAAATAGGAATCAAGTTAAAGTACGTTACTTTTTCATGCAATTTGCCCTTTAGAAAATTATTTACAAAATCAGCTTAGAGATACTCTATCCCCGTTTTGTGACTATTTTCGACTTGCAAAATAAAAATTAAAATAAAACAAGCGAGCAAAATACAGATAAAGTGTTTAAAAAATTAATAATATTATTTAAAAAAAAGTAAATATCTTTCATGAAAATTAATTTAAATAATCATTTTTAGAGTTTGAATTATCTCTTAACCATTTCTTTTTCAATATTTCAAAAATGTCACTACCTCTGCAGGTACAACTCCTCCACTTACGAAGCGGTCAAAGTGTAAAAAGAAGTTTCTAAACCAGGTCCGCAAATGTAGAGACCAAATCTGTAAATTAGTCTCAACACTTCCACAAGTGGTGGAAGTGCCACTTGGCGGACTTTTATCTAATTTATAAATTTGGTTCTTGCACTTGCGTACCCGGTTCAGAAACCTATTTTTTTCTTTCCACATTTTGACTCCTTCACGAATTGAGAAGGTGTCACTTATGAATGTAGTGATATTTTTGAAACTTGTAAAGAGAAACAATTAAAAGATGAATACAAAACCTGAAATAACTATTTTTATTAATTTCTTTTTCTTTTATCTTTTTTATAAAAAGAGGAAAAGGAATAGAGTGATTGTGAATTTTTTTCCCCATTTAGAGATGGGTATGAGATCTTTCGATGTTAGCGTGTTTTGGGTACTTTCTGTTTCATGATCTAAGTTGGTTATGAACGTCGAAGTCATAAAATAGGTCCCCTCGGGTCGGGTCGGGGGGGCAATGGGGGCAAGAGGTGAGATTTTGATAATATAGTAAGGTTCGGTGAAAATGTAAATTATACTGAGAAGATATTTCTATTTTTGGAACAAATTCTAATTGAAAATCAATAGTAATGAGATGCACCATATCAATTCCTATATCAAAAACAATTCATGGGGCAAGGGTGAAGGTAAGGGTGGAGATGAGATTACAAGTGATCAAGGGTCTAGATCTTTTTTTTGCGCTTTTTATTTAACTATTGTTTTCACACGATCCTTAGTCTAATTTAATAACTAATAAGATTATTTATTTATGGTTGAAATCAAGATTTTAAATGGTGTGAGATTTGACGTGGGAATAAGGTCGGGTTTTAAGCTTTACAGGCTATGTCGATGATGTTGTGTTTTCCAAGGTGTAATATAAAGCGATAAATTTATATGTCATATATATAAGATATATAGGGGAATGTTCCTAATCAAATGAGAATTAATTATTTGTGGTAACTGTGAGATCCTACGTGAACCAATCTTTAAGATAATTAATATTTTTCTTAAAATAAAATATAAGGGTAAATTAGTAATTTGGGTTGATTATTCAATTTACTTTAATTAGTTTAATATTTCAATTTATTTTAATTAGATTAATTACTAGGTCACATTATGTTATGTATCACAATGCATCTTGTAAGTATTTTGGGTATCAAATTGCTCATGGTGTGTATCATAGTAGTATCTAGTCCTCCCTTGAATGACTGCCCCCCACACACACATACATACATACATATATATGCATACACACACACACACATATGTATATATATATATATATAGAGAGAGAGAGAGAGAGAGAAAGAGTTTGTTGCAAATGCAACTCATCGCATTTGTACAACCAATGCAATCTAATAAATTGAAATATTTATGAAAATGATGAGAGTTCATTTATTATGATTTAAATCTTTATGGAAGATGAATAAGGTTCATTAATTAT